TAAATAAATAAATAAACAGCAGGGGATATCGCAGTACAAGGTGCTTCAGCTGAGAAAAGTGTTCAGTTCTGTGTGGAGGAATTCTGGCATCATGCTTGTTACAGGTTGTGTTCCTAGCCTGTAGGCACCACTGTAGTACAGATAAGGTTTTAGAATAGCAGCCTGAGCACAAGCCTAGCAACAGTGCAGACATATCCCATTATTGTGTTTTAATAACAAAGACATTGTGGGGCTTATTGTGTTATCCAGTAAAATCCAATAATGACTGAAAGTGGCAGGTTAACCTCTCTGTATCCAGCAGCTGTTTGCGAAGAAATAATCTAATCACCTTTGTATTTAGCTTTCTATTCCAACTTTTTGTCATTCTTTTTACGCTATTCAGTCTGTCTTCATAAAGAAACTGTCTTTACAGAATATCTGATTTATGATTTAGTCCCAGTGCAGGAGTTTATCTCATTTTTAAATAGATTTTGAAGAACAATCAATGCAATCAGTGTTGCAAAACTTGTTTTGCTCTCATCATACAGCAGAGATTGATGTTATGGAGAAGCAACCATATGTTCTTGCCGAAGTAGTTTCAAATGCTTACTCTGTGTGTGTGCCTTTGTGTGTGTGTGCTCTCACAGAATAGTACTAGCAGCTGAGAGGGGAGCTTGTCAGAGAACTAACAATAAGCTGTGGAGTTGTCTGGCAGCCTATAGAAGGTATTGTGGTTTTGGGAGCCCTGCCTTTTTGCCTAGTATGCCGTGCTGCTGTTCTCTTTGACTGTTGTTCTCCTGATCTTCATGGGAAGAAGCTAAGCTAGACTCCTCTTCACTTGTTTGATAACACTGATGTTTGAATTAGACTTTGACATCAGGATTTCCTTGGATCATTTTCAGCTACAAGACAAACCTGATGATGACTCTTTTCCTTAAGAAGAATAAATCATAGTGTGCCTTCATAACTATAACTTCTGTAACTACCTTTTCATACTGTGTTCTCAGTGACAGTTTGCATTGCTTCTTTAAAAGCAATTCTCCCAGTTGGTTTTGTCCAGTTGATATTTTAAAAAGGCTCCTCTTTGAAATAAAGTATAAAAAATTGACTGGTTTGATTTAATATTAAAGAATGAATGTGATGGGTTTATAAAGAGAATTCTGGTCATAGTCTAGTTCAGAGCCTTAGCACAAGAAGATTAAGAACAGAGGTGATTTCATTTCAGGTTCTATTATTAAATTTTATCATTAATTTTATTACGGAGTATATTAACTCTTCTATTTTGCATGTATAATACAGTTAGCCAAAATCTTAATTTCCTATCTGTTTCTTTTCATGGATGGGCTTTAAAGACAACTTTGTTTTTTAAAAACCTGTTCTGGTTATTAATTTTCCTCCTTTTCAAGTAGGTTTAAATAAAATAAAGACTTCATTTAAAGGCACTAGTCCAATTTTCTTTTAAAGAGATTCTTCTTTTCCTCCTCAGTTATTGGAATGTGGTGGGAACATCTTTGATGCAATCTCTATCGCAGTGAAGGCAGCTCTCTTTAACACAAGGTAAAGCACAAATCTCATTTCATGTGAGTGAAAGTGGCATGGGAAATGGAAGAGAAGTACTCTCTGTGAGCAAAGCATTTTTAATGCTTAGTTATTTAAATAAGAAATACCCAAAGCAGCTTGCCTTCAGATACAAGGCAGTCCGTTTTCATGCAAGTCGTATGAACTAATATTTAGTTCAGTTTCTAATAATCAAGTGTCATATTGCATTGTGATTGTATGCACAGTCAGGTTCACAGTATAACTTCTGTTCTGTAGCCCAATCCAGAAAAAATTGTTTGACCGTGAGATTTTGTTGCAGGTAGTTGGAGGACTTTGTGTTGATGCCTTGTGGGTTTGAAGAAGTACTTACTGATATGTGATGCTCTTGATTAAGAAGCCCTCTGTCAATGTGACTAGTGATTTATAACTAGCCTTGATGTTTCTCTTCTGATTTCGTTCTCATTAATTTTTAGTCTAGAGTTCTTTTTAAAACTAAGAAGAAAATAGTGGTAGTGAGAAATTGTGGGGAGGGGGAAACAATGTGTCTTTAAAAGAACTTTGACCCATGCATTTTAATTCAAAGAATGGAAAAACAAAATCTAGTAGAATGAATGATGGAAATTCTCTGTGTGGTTTTTAATGGTATGTTTTGCTTGTATTTTTTCTATTGTTTTTATCTTCTTTATCTGTAGGTGGAAGGCAGTACAGAGTTTTGTAGCACCCTTGAGAAAAAAAGCTAGTGAATGGCTTTGCCAAAAAACTTAGGTGGCAACAATAGCGGGAAGAGGTGCAAAAGTTAGACTCTTATAAGCATAAATGTTTTAAAAGTGGATTTCAAATTGTTCTTCAGCATTAAATTAGAGATCTGCTAAAGCCACTAGTGTAGTTCTGGCTTATTTGTCAGGGAATCAATGCACTAGATCTGGAAAAGTATGTGCAAAAAGAAGAGGAAAATACGTTTTTGAAGACAGGCAGTATATCAGGTTATAAACACTTTAAAAGGGGATGAGGGAAGAATCCATTTGAGACTAGAACTTGTATATATTGCTGAGAAATTTCCCATGTTAATCAAATTCTCAACAGTAACTTTTAACAGTAGATTGTTTTTATAATATTAAGAAATACTGTCACAAATATAATGGAGTTGGCAGTACTCTAAAGGGAAGAAGTGCTGTGTTTCTGCCTGGATGCAAAAGTTGTATAGTTAAAACAGTTACTACCACGTAAGTTGTTTTGCAGATGCAAGGCACATACTTTATTTATAAGATAACTGGGTCTTTTTTCTTATTTTAACCAGAATAAACAGAGACGATCATATAAAAAGTAATGAATTAAATAAGCAAGTAGAAGAAAATGTTGCTTTGGGAACATGGGCAACATGGAGGGTGTAATTATTCTAATGATTCTGCTTTATTTTGATTTTTCTGACAACTTGTGTCCTTTATATAATCTGTAATCTATGGAAAACATCCAGAGTCCTGTTAAAGTTGGGTATTGTATCAAAATGTGGTACAATATGACATAATGGAGAACCTGTTGATTTTTTACCTGTGAAAACCTTGTCTTACTGAGTTGAGCCATACATCTAATCTCATAAAAGATCAGAAAGTCAAGAGGTGAAATACAAAGTGAAAACCTGTTGTCCTCCTTCGCTATTCCTCTCACTTTCTCTTGGTAGCTACTAAGTTTTCTTTGGATCGACCCAAGGCTGTTTAAGAGTAGCTTCCCATTCTCCATAAAATCTTATTGTCCAAACAAGACAAGATGTCAGTTTGAAAATTGCTTCAGATTAAGTGTTCTGAACTTTGCTTGACATGTGTCCCTCTTTAAGTCTTACTTGCTTTTCATACTTTGTTTACAACCAGGTTTTTGTTAGAACTGTTTCCAGATCTTTGCCAGCCTTGACTGCAGCCTTGAAACAAAGAGCAGAGAGCTCAAGCTGCTGTTTTTCTTGGAAGCTACAAAATTTTAGATATTCAGATAGGCATTTGAAAACTTCAACTTCATCTTCAAAATCTTGCTCTGAGCATTTCTATAATAGCTATGGACACATTTTTCTTTAGAGCTAAGTAAATCCAAAATCATAATTTAAGGAATTTTAGGCAAGACTGGCAGGATTTAAATCCTTTGAATGCCTGACGTGATTCATTATATCCCCTTCAGGCATGGAACAATCACAATATGACTGTTTTAGGGGGAACATTTACTCCTTGCAAGTTTGTATTGTTCATCATGTTCTAAAAACTATATCAAGATCATGTGCAAAAGATAGCAGGCCTCAAACTTACTTCTTACCCCTGTCTCCAAGGTGTTTAAGGATGGATTTATTCATGATGGAAGTAGATATTGCAAAATATGCAATATTAGCTACTGTGTCAGGACATTAAACTTGGTTCTGTGAAATGTGTCTACTTGCCACAGAGACTGCAGAAACTAGGCAAGTTACAAAAACTAAAGAGTTTATAACACAACAGCTTTGCCAATATCGAGGTTTTTTGCTGAACAGCATGGTAGAGGCAGAACTGATGCCTGCTTGCAAGGGTGGAACTGGTTTTGCAGTTGTGAAATCTGGGTCTGCAGCACATAGGAAAGAGCGTTGTTTGTTCCTTGACTGAGTCTTGCTGTACAGATTTCTGCCCTGATTAGTTACAGGAATCAAAATAGAAAAATGAAAGTTGCAAAGTAAACATGCTAATTCTTAAGACAAATATTCACAAGCTGGGAGAGGAAATCTCCAGTGTTCTGGAAATGCTTTTGCTACATTCACTTTTCCTAGTTTTTGTGTCCATATACCCCCTTTTTTATGCAACTATGATTCTTGTGTCTGATCTTTTTGCCTTTGCAATTGTTCTAATTTACACCTCTTTCATCCGTGCTTGGCCAAAAAAGCTCCTTGCAGGCGTTTTTCAGGTATTAATTCTGGAAACTTTTTCTTGCAGACCAAACATTGCTCTGGTTTCATGGCTATTTTAGAATGGAATTAAAAATTGCTTAATCTCACAGATTTTCCTGAAATCTTTCTTTGTTTTTTAACACTGCTTTGGCACATAAACCTCTTGACTAGGCTGTTTTCCAGTGTTGTCCTTGTCCTGCGTAGCTTGAGGATCAGTCACCTTGTGACTTTATTCCATCAATTTTTAATGGAATATTTTAAACTTGAAAATAGGCTTTGAGGCATTTCTAATGGGTTGGAAAAGCATTTGGAGTTTTGTTTCAGGAAAAAGTACACTTCACAATTGTTCTGCTTACTCAAAGTCTTAGTTTTGGCTTGGTCCAGGCCACTGTGCTTGTAGGGAATTTGTTGTCACTGGAGCAGGGTTAGCTGCTGTGAAGTACTCGCCACTAGGACTTTTAGCCACAAATAACTAACATACTCTTCCAGGGAACAATAAAAAGTCACTTTGTATTGGTGGGGGAAATGTTCATTAAATCAGTCCCTATCTCCTCCTCCTTCAAAAGAAGAGGTTTCTTACAGACGGCATAAAAGAATGTAACCTCCAGAGTCTAGTTATGAGCACAGTGCTACTGTAAAAGTACTAATATAAAACCAGATTGTGGTTACTGAAGTTAGCTGTCAGGGGACGTCTTGAAATATTTTGTTTTCAAGTGCAAATGTGTGGAAAAGAAAAAAAAAAGTAATATGGGAGCTGTGTGGGGGTTTTACTGGCCAGTAATGCGAAGTCTGTCAGTCAGTACTCCATCCTAACAGGCACCTGGATAAATGAGGGTATATAAGATGCTGATGTTCTTGGCAGCTTGAGGTACCATCTTCTACTAAATTGTTTTAAATTATTTTATTCATTATGCTAAGAAAAGTGCCTAAAGTCATGCCATGAAATTCCCATTAAATGTCTATCACAAATACAATATATTTGCCACTGATAAGGAGCCTGTCTTAGTTCATTTGTGAGAGAGTTCATCATTCGCTACTGAGAAGAAAGCGTTTCTTGGATTTCTGCCTGGGTTTTTATTCCTGCCCTGTCCTTATATTTTATATATCCCTTGTATATCTGTCCTTAGAACAGTAGAGTCTTCTGGCTTCTTAAAGAATGAGAATATCCTGCCAATCTTCCCATCTTGCTAAAGAGAAAGGATTTTACTGATGTTGTCTTTCTCTTTACCCCAAGTCTTCCTTAATTAGTGTTGCTCTTTCCTGAAGGGCTTTACTACTTGTATTTGCTACTGATGTCACAGCTTTGCCAAGCAATGTAATTACTCTAATTCTGTCAACTTTACTGTTGTTTGCAAAGTTGAGAGCCACTGTACGAAAGGATTCAGTCTTGGTAATTTCTCTCCTATACATCCAGCAGAAGTACAAAGAATTGTTCAGAACTGATTTGTGCAAATTCCAAAAGAATCTCTCCCCATATAATAGTGTAAAAAACAACTCAGATTCTAATGGTTCGAATGATGTAAATATGATGATCTCATCCTAAATGTCTTCGAACTTACAATGTTTTCTTCCTAGTCTTGGGGAGTGAGTTGTTAATACTTTGATCACATTCTGGACTTTTTTTCTAAACATTTTGCCTCATTTAGAAGAAACAGCACTTCATGGAGTTGTGACTGTATAGCAGCTTTATTTGTTATCTGTTCTGGCAATGATTTTGCACATTTTGTTTCCACAGAATACCCAAAGTACGTGTTCTGGAGGATGAAGAAGGCACCAAAGAGATTGAGCTGTCTGATGACCCTTATGATTGTATTCGACTTAATGTAGAGGAAGTGCCCTGTATTGTCACGCTAAGCAAAGTAAGCATGACAAATTTCTGACCCTCTACCTAGAAACTTCAGTTTCTATTAGTTTCACCTGCCAGTTATTATTTCCCTAGAGATAAAAATTGTGTTACAGAAATGGTCAGTGTCCACTATGTAGATATTTGTTTGTCTTTTGCCTCCTAATTAAGAAGAACTTCTATTGAATAAGGGGGTTTTTTGCATCTCTGACTTGTAGGTTTCTATTTGATGTGCTCTTAAAATGCATCTTCTTGCATTCAGAGGAATTGTTTACTGGTTTTTATCTGCTCCTTGCTTAACATCTGTAGCAGCAGATACTTCAGTGTGTTAGAACAAGTGGCCATTGTTGTGAGGTGCAAAAGTTGTGGCATCTGCCTGGAATTACATGATGAGTATTTGTTGCTGGGGACAGAACTCCATTTTCAGGGGTGCAGTACTGTGCCTTCCCTTTCAAACAGGTTTTCCATATATAGCACACAGCCAACACAGTTGATTTTATGGATGCTGCAAGTTCCATTGCAAGTGGTAGTGATTTGCTTAGTTACCTGAAAGTTTATGTGGCATTTCTTTTCAGCAAGTTGCATAAATAGCAGAGGCCATTGCTGAAGTGAGGGCTCACCTGAGTCTCGGGATGTGTAATTTTCACCTAGAGGGTAGCAAAGTCCATGCTTGGAGTTGAGGGGGGAAAGAGGAATAGGGAGTTTCATACAGATTAAAGGATGGTAGAGAGGAAAACAGTATGAAATAGTGACATGTTTATCTCACCTCTGTTGTGTAACGTACACAATTTGGGGTCAGAGGCTGTTTAAATACCATGCTATCAAGTCAGTCTCAGACCACTTAAAAAGGCCACATGATATTAGGATGGGAGACTGAGGTAACTAACAAAGCTGCCACTCACAGGTTAACTTCTTAATGGAAGCCCTTAGAAAACTGCGAACTGATACATCATTTTGTCACTAACTTACAGATTGGATATAGGCATGTGGTGGATGCTACCCTTCAGGAAGAAGCCTGTTCTTTGGCAAGCCTGCTTATTTCTGTGACCAGTAAAGGTGCCCTCACTTCTATGAAGAAAGTGGGGAAAGGTAGCCTGGATCCTGAGAGTATTTTTGAAATGATGGAGGTAAGGAGTTTTGAGCAGTTGACTGTCTTGGATGATACTGGATGAATTGGAACTTGGGTATATGGAAAGCTGCAGTAAGGACTTTTATAGCAGAAATCTTGGAGCTTTGATTAGGTGCACAAGGGACTTTGTAAAGGTCACAGTTTCTTTGAAACAAATTCTAATGTGAATGGATGTTATCTAAAACTTCTAGATGCCTGAAATGCATGATACTCACATATGTTTCAGGCAAGTACTTCACAGCTGTAAGACAGTAAAGCTTATGCTGATAAACTTTGAGAGTATTTTTAAAGAACATGTTCCCTTTTTGATAGTTTCTCTTAAAAACTGAAATAGCAAAACTCCTAATATGGTAAAGTCCCTATAAACGTAGAGAAGGTGTTTTTGAATTGCTAGTGCACGGTGTTCTCTTCTAGCACAACTCATTTGTTTTATTATAAGCTTACTCTTCTCTTTTTACTGTTGTTTTTCTTTGGTTCTTTATTGGGTTTCTGATCTGCCCTTACTTCATAAAAATACTAGTATCTGGATATTGTCCACATCCATGTAAGAATTCCATTTTAAACCTTTCTTCAGGCTCTTCTTAAATGTTCTGCAGTGTAAATTCTCATGCCTGAGTTTGGCCTTGAGCGTGAGACAGAAATGGGTTTTGAGCTTGGAAGTCAGAATGAAAATTAGATACTTCAAACTGACTCTGTTTCCAAGAGATACAGGACTAATTTCAGCCCAGCTGTAGTGAGGAATGCGGAAGTTGGAGCCAAGTTTGACAACAGTTGGTCTCAAGTGGGAATTACATGCTTGAGTATATATGGCACTTGACTGTGTCAATATAGAGTGCTAATTTTGGTGGTACCAGTGGGGATTTCATTTGTGTTCAGAGATGTCACTTTCTCCCTTATCTGGATAGAGAGGTTTTATCTCTAACTTGGCATCCTAAAGAAACCTAACTTCCTGTGGGCATCTGATGTGTCTTCCTTGATGGATTTTGTGTCTGATGCTAACTAAACGTCATAGAAAACTTGATGTTTTGGGTCTAGGGCTGCTAGAGAGGTTGGTGCTTAAGTCAGATACAGGTTCATGAAGAAGCTGACCTTAGTGCAAATTCCCTGCACCGGGCTTTGATGGAGCCTCTGTTTTGATCACCAATTTCACTCTACATTGAGCCCTAAATAGGAAATGAACTTCTGCAGTTCCATTTTATACCCTACCCCCAAAGGCTGTGCCTGGAGTTCTGTAATGCACTTCTAAACACTGGTCAGAGATGCATATGGAAGGTAACTGTGGAAAATCTTCAAACCATCCTATTCTGCGAAGAACATTAGTGAACTTGTCCCTACTTGTTGGTGCAGGAAGTTACAAGCTTAAGCTGATCACTTTTGGAAGAAGTCTTCCCTCCTGAATGTTGAAGAGTTTGAAAGAGTGAGAGATAAAGCTGATCAAAAAAAAACCCAATATGTTTTCTGGAAAGTCAAGAGTTTATCTGTTTGGCCCTGCCCTAAACCCAACAGCCTCATTAGGATACCAAGAAAAACAAAAAGACCTGGGAATATCCACTGGAAAAGATGCATAACCCATGTTTGACACCTCCATTCCATAATGATTCGGCTGCAGGTCAGAGTGTCAGCTTTCCCTGTCTTGTAGAAAACAGACGTTCTAGGGCATATCTCTTAGTAAGGGAGTTTCATGGGAAAGTTTTGGGAAGCTGCCAGCATTAGGCTTTTCTTTCCTAAGTTTATGATCTGATCCATTAGAGAGGCAAGCAGCATTAAGAAAGCAATAGTCTTGCGTCAATACCAAAGTTCTGCACAGGTCCCGTTCACTTTGACCTGGTGCGAGTGACGTTATCCTATATTTGAGGAGTAGAATGCAGAAAGTGTATCACTCCTTGGGACTCCAGACTGCTGCAGTGATCTTTGTCCCAGTGCAGAGCTGTTGGGACAGTTCTTGTCTGTGCCCCCCCTTTATTTAACGTGACTCATAGTATCTAGTATTGACAGCTACCCTGCTGCATCAAAGCTCTTCCCAAATTTCCTTTGGTACCATGGGCCGTGTTCTCTCACCTGGATCTTCGATTAGAAATGTACCTCGTTTTAAGGTTTGTGCTCCCATGGTTCCAGTAATTGTCACCAACAGGTGAAAGAGAGCTTTGTGTCAGCTGTATGGCAGGCCTAGGCTTCATTGCATAGATCAGGAGCAAATAAACTCAGTTTAATATAATCTGCCTTTGGCTCTTTACAGATAGGTGGGCTCTCTTCATCTCCATATGGAGTCTGTATTTCAGATCATTTAGAGAAACCCTGGGAAAGCTTTAATGGGCACTGTTGCCTTAAGAACTTTTATTTCAGCATTGCCTAATGTTTCCTTGCCCTGTAGCTTCCACAGTACAGTTGTGGGGGGGGGAAGAGTAGAGGCTGGTGTCAGAGCTAATCCTGGTGGCTTTCCACTGCTGGAGTTTCCTTTTGTAAAGAAGACATTGTGTTAACCCCTTTAAGGGCCTTGGACAGTACAGAATTGCACATCATATGAAAGATCTGCCCACAGACTGATTTGGTGATGCAGCCAGTGTGCATTTTGGGCTTCTCTGGCCATAGGACACAATGTTGAGCTAGTCTAAATTCACTCTGCTGATTCTGAGCACCTTCAGAAGAGTTCAGAAGGGCCTGAATTTTTTATTAGTAGACTGCTTTGCTGGTCAGGTGTCTCTTGTCCTCTGGCAGCTAGAATATTGCTTTATGCTGTGTGTGCTGACTAATTTGAGTGTGTGCTTGTGCCTGATGTGAATTTAATTTGTATTCCTGGATGATCCAGCAGTGCACAGATCTGGTATTAATGATCATAGAATGCTTCTTTGATGAATGAGAACACTGCATTTATGTGTGCATTTTTCCAAAACTTAATCAAATTAAAATGAAACTTCCACCACCATTATTTTTCTTAATTAAAAGCGTATTTTGGTGATACCAGCTGGTGTATATGAATCATCAAAGGGAAAATATTTGTCAAAAGGAAGTGTTCCGTAAGAGTTGTCTCCTGTTAATAAGCATATGTCTCAGGTTTGTTTTGCTTTCTTTGCATTGCAGACAGGACAAAGAGTAGGCAAGTCACTGCACACAGCCCTTCAGAAGATTTTGGATGAAGAAGAGAGTTTGGGGACGTCACGGCCAAAAGTTGGATTTCTAGGATGAGATTTTATTAAATGTTGAAAACTGTTTTTAATTAATTGTGCAATCTTGTGTGTTTGTGTATAAAGAAAAGGTTATTTTTTTTTCCAGTACAGTTCTCATTCTGGCTGAGAGGCTTTTAAAATTTTCCTAAGCATAAAGAAAGCTACAGTTAAGCGCAGATGAGAAAATCAGAGATGCTTTCCATACGGGTCACTGTTCGCACCTGGGAAGTGCACCAGCAGCAATTGGTGCCATTGCCTGGGAAATGCTTGAATCTATTTTCAAGAGTGACTGGTGTAGGTTCCACTTAATTCTGTTAGCACACCTTCCTCTTCTGTAGACCAGGTGCTGTGTTCTGGAGTGTACTTGAGGCTGTGCAGCACTAATGAGAGTAGCACAAGGTGGAAGTCTTCCTTCTAATTACCTAACTATTCTTCGACTAAAATGTGGTTAGATTTTACTATAAATAAAACATGTTTCCACATTTCCAATTTGTATTTTAAACCAAGATTTCTTTGCTCACTAGAGCTCTACCTATCCCTTTTGCCAACAGGTGCAATAGCAGCATAGCCACAGCTTTTCACAGTGGCTAAGGAGAAGGGGCATGGCTAAGGTAGAAGGGAAAATGAGTTAATTTTTAAGAGTTAGACAATTCAGCTGGAAAAGCATAGTGTCTGTCAGTAATGATCCTTCATAGGGAAAGTCAGAAGGTGGCAGGTAAGGCATGCTAACAAGTTGTATCACCTGGTGTTGAAAGCAGTGGATTCCCTCCCTACATCAGTTGGTTGCCCCAGCAAAGAGTAAGAGCTGTTTATTTGGCAGGATAGGAAGAGACAACAGACGGAAGAAATCAAAGGAAGAAGCTGGTTTTTAAGAAGTTGATATTTCAACTGCATGTATTAGAATGCATGTTTTGAATAGACATTATGGCAGAAGTTACTACAATAATCCAGGAGCAATGTTTTCTGAATTTCCTGTTTTAATTTTATTATATCAGATTAAGAATGTTCTCTTGACTGTAACATGTTTGGTGGGGAAAAGGGGAAGGCTTTTGCTGAAAGAGAGCTGTAGATACAGGACAGAACATATTACTAATAATCATGATCACGTTAAAATATATGGAGTGCTTAAGGTCCCCAAATCTCTTCAGCCCTTTTCCTAGAGCTCACTCACATAATTGCTCAAGGTAACTGCAGTACTACTGTGTATTGTACAGATATGTGTAGCCACTAGTATAACAAGCAGGTAGGTTAAAAAAAAAAGAAACTGTCCCACAAAATTTGCCCAAGATTGTATTTTGAAGAGTTGAAGAGTGTGTATTTTTTCAGTACTTTAAGTAGTAGGTTAGGTAGGTTATGATGGTGCAACGTGGATAGAGCCTTCCTAAATCTTCGTTCGCGAAACCTAGCCATGACATAGTAATAGAGCCAAGAAGTGACAATCAGTATACATAGTCTTTAATCACTTCAGTAGAATTATTCTGTGTGAGGCAAACACTAAGCCAGGTTCATCTTTACAGTAGCTGTCATCATTCCTTGCCATGCAAAGCTACTTGTAAAAATATGAAAGAAAACTTAAGGGAGAAAAAACATTTAAAGTACCTGAGACTTATCACAGGCAGTTTTTGTTTGATCATGTGTTGTTTAATGTTTCAGAAAATGGTTAATCGAAATGAGACTGCAAGTCCTGAACCTCAGCCATTCCCTGAACAGCTGTTGCCTGTTTTATTACAGATTTGTGGTTGGATACCAAAAGGCTGCCCTGAGTGATGCTCAGGATGAATTTTGTAACATGGTATTAATAGTGTATTTCTTCATAGCCTTCCAGCTGAAGGATCTCCAAGCATTTTGCAAGTTACATCATTTAGGATGTCCCCTCTCCACATCCTTTTAATTTTAAATTTAATTTTCTGAGAGCTGGAGGTGGTGGTGGGAGAAACATTACTGTGTTTCAAGTGTGTTAACTGACCCCTCTGTGGAGGTGAATATATGTGCATTCCCTCCCAACTTCTTACTAAGGATAGCAAATATGTAGCCATCTGAGATTCAGGATACCTATGTGCTCAAGATACCTAGAAAGAAAATTCTTGGTACCTCAGCTTCTGTGTTTGATGCCAGCCCAAGGGAACCTGTGGAACAGCTGTGTATACAAAAATGGCTACCTTTATCACAAAATATTTGGTGCCAAGCACTTCCTCAGAGCAACACTGTAAATTAACATGGTGAAAGCATCTGCAGCACCTCCCCTAAGTGTGCATGTCCTCCCCCTGGTCTTCTGTAGCTGGGTAGGCAGGCACAGAATGCATTGAGGCTCTCAAGGGGTCCTATTCCTTATGTACTCAGTGCTTCCCATCAATTGGCATGGAAAAGCAGTGGGGTGGAGTGTGACCCCAGTTCAGACTGGGTCTGCTTCAAACCCTGAGATATAAATAATGAGCGAGCCCAGCCAAAAGTATAATACAGCTGCTAGTTGGTCTCAGCTGCCCCTGGAGGTTTGCTGCTACCAGCTCAGGTCCCAAATGGATAAACAAAGCTCTGACAGGGGTAAAAGGTCCTACAGCTCTTCCAGTTGATACAATATCTGCCAAGAAATCTTTGAGACTGTGGTTCTCAGGCATGCTAAGGGCTATGCTGCCCATTTCTGTTTTCTTAGTTCCCTTTAACCCCTCCCTTCTATTGCAGATTTTTAGTAGAGACTTCAGCTGAGAATGCTCCCGTTCCCGTCTGGGCTGATGGAAAGTTCCATGTGTTGCTGTGCAGATACTGCCACGTTTTCATTGACTCGAGTCCAGTAGAACTAAGAGGAAACATCTGTGGAGAGGGATAGCTCTCTGTTTGTCCCAGAAATTAATTGCTTCTGCTGGGAGTGTCGAGAGGCTGAAAGCTGTGTACTAGAGGTGAGGAGTCTATCAGCTCCTGCTAGGCTTTTACTCATGTTGCCTAAAAAGCACACACTTCGAATTTACCTGCTTCACAGGGACAGTCTCCTTGGAGCAGGAGAGGGCTAGCCTGTAGGTCAGTGGACCTGGCAGATTTACCAAGCCCAGGAATCCTGTCAGCCAGCATTTTGCAACTACAGTTCAAAATTGCGGTTGTGTGGTTTGGGGAGGAGAGGGGAGCTTGTTCTGCCCTGTGGGCAGAGGTGGAGGCAATGGGGAGGAGTGAGGCTATGCCACGTGCAGGCAGGCTTTATATGAAAGCTTGCTTCATCACAGCCTCTCGTAAAGACAAGTTGGTGTGAAACAGAGCTTGCTCACAGTTTCTGTGAGACCAGAGTGTGCAGATCTCTCTTTGAGGGATTCGGCACCCTGATCTGACATAAATACTAGGGTGTTTCTGCATTTTCTTTCTAAGTAGGAATTAACTGAAATTTACCCACTTCTGCTAGGACTGCCTCCAGCTTTTCTTTTGAAGTTCAGCAAGTGCCACTGCCCTCCTCATCAGTGCGATGTTCTCCAGCCCTGCTGTGGCCCTGGTTTACTTTGCCTGTGGTCAGCAGCCACTGAGACCCAGAAAGTAGAAGAATCAAAGCTGTGACTGATGAGACCTGAGTGCTCCAGTCCTTACCCCAGAGCCTCCTTTCCTTTAACACGCTTGAGCAAAATGCAAGAGCAGGTCTGCAAATGGTACTGAATCTCTTCAGCCATCAGCCTCTTATTCCTCCCTGCTCCCCGATCCCTTGTCTCCTAGTGCACTCCTGTGTGATTGCACTCCCTGCCCATGTGAGGCAGCTTTTCCTTCTAAGGCAAAATGTGGCTGCTCCTGTTAGCTGTGCCTCACAGAGGCTTCTTTTCCTTTGGTGAGGTCCCAGACTCCCAGTGATACTGCTTGGCTGCAGCGGGGCATTTTGGTACATGCCTCCCCACAGAGAAACTGCAGTGCCTTGGTTTTTCCTTGGATAAGCTGCATTTCCAGCTATCCAGTAACAAAGACATTTTTGCTGTTCCTGCAAAACAACATTAGAATCTCACACATGCTGTTAATGACTCCCTGGTGATGGTTTCAACCTCAATTTCATCGGTTAGAACACTTTTTAATGAAGCTGTGGTTATCTTATGAGCTCTGTGAACATCTCTGTTGCTATCCTGTTCTCTAGATTTGGGTAAGATCAGCAGCACAGGCACGCCTGAGTTTTCAAGTCACACCATTTGTTGATGAGATGATCTCCCTCATTTAGACTGATATCATCATAGTTGCTGCAGGCCCATAGCTTGTACCTTCAGAGGGGTAAGAGGAAATGAAATCTTAACCCCTTTCTGATGTGCAGAGACCCTTCTCCACTCAGCCAGCAGGGCAGGGACTACAGCCAAGCCAGTTGTGCTCAGATGTTGGAGGTACTTGGAGCCACCAGCCTGCAGGCCCCCTCTTCCAGAGGAGCTCTCCCACTACATGTTCTCTCTTTGTTTTGGCAAATGGTAAGTTTTGGTATTTCCACAGTTGGAAACATACGGATTGAAAAGTCATGATTTAAGTCCTACCTTTCTTCTTTCCCTCCAGAGAGAGACCAATGTTAACCTGATGAGGCTTTTCAAGGTTGCTTTCTTCCTGCTGTCTGATCATGCAAACTTTTCTCTAACTTAAAAAAATAAAGCAATTAATGAGGCTGAAGTTGAAATTCTCTTACAACCCCTAATTCAGCACCCACAGCGATATGAAAGCAAACCAGTTGCTCAAAGGTGGGAACAATGTGCAGTAAGAGCATAAGCTGACAGAAATGCCGTCTGTTTGCCAGTCCTAAAATAATGACTTCAATGGTGACTTCACTTGAACTGATGCTGTGACAGGCAGTTTCGTGCAGCCTGCTCAGCGAACCTACACAATTAGGAATTCCTCCAGAGTTTTGGTGTTAGGTTTAGACACTTGACTGCAGTTTTCCTTTAGTTGTTTGGACTTTGGGATGTGGATGATGGGCAGAAAAACAAAGCAGCAAAGACAGCTGGATTTACCCCTAGCCCCAGGAGGTGCATACTCCAAACGGAAGGAAGCATGAGTCCTTTGGTGCAGTTCCTTTGGAAACAGGAGAATTTTGAGCAGCTGGTACTACTTGAGTTCAAGTTCTCTTCATTTGGGTTCAGTTTAGGGCCTGAGGATCTACTGTAGCATGGATCCTTCTGTTCTGTGACCCTTGGTGAATGAGGGGGAGGGATGTGAGCCATGCTTGTCATGGGATGTGATTAGAAGGTTCCCTCCTTAGGCTCAGAGCCAATTTCCTAAAGTTGATGTTGGGGATAACATTTTGTCAAAGTGCTGACTCCTTGGTTTTCCTCATCATTGTCCTTATGAAAACCACCCTTTCCTGAACTATTATTGCATTTATTCTCAATTGGCCTTAAAAACAATGATCCGTAGATTTGGCTCTTTCCATTTTAACCTGTTCCAATGTTTATGCTGCTGGAGATCAGGAGTGATGCCAGCATGAGTTTAGGCAGCAGCTAATGAATATCAGAGATTTTCTTCTGGGAGCCCCA